AGGAGGGACCAGCCACTGGAGAAAGGACAACATTCTTGGAAGAGTAGAGGGTTAGTGCAGGAGATAAATATCCGACATGAGATAGATTGATACAGTGACTGTGACAATAGGGGCAGGTGTGTCAGAGACAGCAAGACTGGCTCAGGATAGGGTGGGTTTCAGAGCTATTCTTCATAGAATCACTATGCACTGTATTTTACTAATTGGCATATAACAATCACAACAACTGAATGTCAGAAGAGACTCTGAAATTTACGACTGAATATAAAAGACCTAAAAATAATGGATGAAATTATGAAGATACAGAGCTGAACAGAAAGTTTCAAAGGAAAGCTGGAGGAGACAAAGCGAAAGGAAAAAAAATGTGCAAAGACATTGGCATTAGAAAATTAAAAGGGAAGAACAAGATGAGCATTCAAAACTGGAAAAACCGAAGAAAATAAAACTCAAGCCTGATTTGCAAATATTGGAGGATTCTATGGACAAAATGTCACACAGCAAGGGATGTGAAGAAGGTGGAGGGAATACAGAATCACTGTACCAAAAAGAAGTGGTTATCACCCATCCATTTGGGGACATCATCTAAGAACAACAGCATATAATGATGAGCTGATGCCACTGAATGAATGTTATGTTCAACAATAATATTGACTAGGAGGACTAAGATATCTCTTACTAAATATACTCTATTTCTGAAAGGACAATCCAGACACCCCTATCACTGTGCATTCACATAGTGAGTTAGTAGGGTCCCCTTCTATTTTATACAGTCCATCAATCATTCCTTACAGCACCTTAAGTACATGAATTGGGGAACCTAAGGTTTATAAGAAGCCCTTAGGCAGGAGAAGAATGGGCAATATGCTCTCATGTGATTAATTGCCTCTAAAAACCACAGGGTCGGCTATGGGTTGTTTCCAACTCGAGGATACACAACAACAACATTTCCATAAACAAGTTCAAGGACAAGTACCTCATATCATGAGCTGTTCTGCCCAATTGTGTTGAGCTTTCAAAGAGAAAACTCATAACTGATACTACAGTCGGTTTTCCAGGGTTGAAATCACACGGAAGGAGACTGGCATCTTTATGCCAAGGAAATTGACCATCTTTCTCCCACAGAGGAGCTGGTGAATTTGAACCACCTGCTTTGGGGCTGACAGCACAACTCCTTATGTACTAGGAAGGGGAATGCCACTCAAACACTTTCATTGTCCTTTAAAAACTGAATAGAGCCATCAACTTGGAAAATCTATTGTCTTTAAGTCTCTGCATCTTTAAATACATTTCCTGGTTGACTGAATGTTATATTCTCTATAGAAATATCCCTGTTTCTACTGAGAAGGCAGTATCAATATTCAATTTATTGCACAAATGCTGCTTTGGACAACGCAATTATGTTTCTTCTTTATTACAACAAAACACTGCATCTCTCTGAAGACACAGTGATTTTACAGTTTCTTTAAAGAGAGTTTTAAGCAGCTTTTGTGAATTTTTATATGCCCTAATCAGTTTCCTTTCCTCAACTCACCACTCACTCCCACAGAGAGCAGAAAATGAGAGTACAGCAGGTCAAGTGGCAAGAATACTAATCTAAGCATTACCCATTTTCAACAACGATTTTTAAATAAATCCACATTTATTACAATTAAAGACCTTTCCCTGTGGCCTTAAAAATCCTTAATTCAAACTTTGAGAGTATATTATGCCGTTTCAAGTTTTAACAAGAAAGGGAAGACAGTAAAAGGTTATCAAAATTTTCCTGGCTTAAATTTTTATAATGCTGCTTCAAATTCAAGCTTTGTCTTAAAATACATAAAATCTTCAAAAGGTCAGGTTCAAGTTGAGTATTCAAAGGCAAAATGAAAGAATTATCTGATTAATTCAATTAGCCAGCCAAAACAATTAAGACTACTTTTTCAGGCAGTTTTTAAAAGTTATTATCTGCAAAATTTCTGCAACATTCCACTTAATGTTAGCAAAGAATAAGTTATTTGGGAAAAACACCCAATATGTTACTGATCAATATCAAAAGTTTTCCATATATTTCTCTGGGGGAAGGAGGTAACTTTTACTACTGCTTTTTAATTTTTCCTCACTGTAAGGGTTGTTCTTAAATAGTCTATTAAATGATTTACTATATGTGAGAAGGGTACTAGATGAATGATTGTTTCCACATTGTAACAACGAGTTGACCATAAATCCAAGAAGTTAACAAGGAAAACTAAGTCAATATTAAACAAATGGATCACGTTAAAAGAGCCCAAATGAAATTTCAGTTACATAATTATAGAAGTGTTGATGTGATCCTACACTTCCAGAAAGAATGAAGTCAATATTGAGAAGCAATGATGAGGGCCATTGATTTCAATAGTTATTAACATTCCTAGGTTAAACTTTCATTTTGGCTGTCCAATCTTCAGGTTAATACAAGTTGACTTAGGCAGTTCATTTTGTTTCTTTAAATCACAGAAAGAAATTTAAATGCTTGGACATAAAAGTAATTCTTCCTATATAAGTGAAGAAGAAAGCTAGCACAAGCTTTAAATGCAAAGAATTACGGTACAGATGTAAGTTTTCTTAACAGTTTCCAAGTAATATTTATGTAAAAGCTTTATTATCAGTATAATTCCATTTCATTATTATGCTGCCAACATGAAGGAACATTACAAACAAAAGAAAAATTATATTCATTTTGGAGTTATAACTAATAATCTGAGACACTGGTTTAGTAAATATATTTGTGGCATTTCAAAACTTAAAAAGCCAGCTCTAGACCAACCATGTACAGCATCCTCCATCCTGGATCTGAGCTGTGTCCCTTTTCAGCTTGTACATTGGGAGAGGGGAGGATAAAAGATAAATGGATAATTTTATGAGCCTCTAGAGATAGTTACCACAATTTACACTGTTATGCGAAAGACAGAAAGCAGGAAAGACTGAGAAGCAGATGGAGGTAAATGAGACTTGCATAAGCAGGGCGAAGATGAAGTTAACCAGCAAATGTCTTCAGAATGAATTTTATGTCCTGTTTACTAAAATAATCTAAGCATCAGTATATTTTATGACAATGATTCTTAAAACATCATTGTAAAATAAAGGTGCAAACACATGAATGTCTACATGTTATATGGAATTTTCTTTTTCATCCTCACTCACCTGAACTTCATGCAGTATCAAATTTTCTAAAGTAAAAGAACACTACTACAGCTGAGTGAGATCAATAAAACTAAATGTGGGGCCTCTTCTAACCTCTACCCCTGAAATATGGAATGAAATACAAAGATTTCATTCTACATACATGCCATTGTGACAAGGTTTTACGATCTTCAGGTTTTAAGTTTTCCACCCCAAAAAACATCTCCTGATACTCTCATGTATGGTGATAAATGTCTCCTTAATTTGCACAACTGCCCTCACAGGAGACCACCTTGAAGGAGCGAGTAAAAGGTTTAGTCATGGTTTCTATTTTTCTATTTGAATTCAATACATTCTAGCTAAATGGACAATTAATAGGTCACTTCCAAAATCGTAGTGTATCAGTCCTGGTTATAAACAATCCCCACAGTTGATAATGGGCCCTATGTATTCAGCAAGTCTCTGTATACACTCAGCTCATCCACTAAATCCCTTTTCAGGTGGATGGGGTTATATGGGAAGATGAGCTAGAATGAGTCTATAAAAGTCAGCTTCATTCACTGCTTTATTTTTCAGTCAAGTGCTTTAAATGGTGTCCAGAAACTCACTAGGAATGTGAGACAGGAGAAAAGAGTGACACACAGAGCCTTGCTTTATGACCATACAAAAGGGCAACTGACCCTTGCCCAAGCCTTTTCCATGTGAAATGGTTCCTAAAGTTCATCTGCACAGTGAAAAATCGTGGTGAGGTCGCGTGTGGATGAGTCAAGTGAAAGTGACGATTGGTCACGGTGCTGTCCTCCTTTGTGACTGGGCCCCAGCCATGTAAAGTGCTCTGTGGGAAAGTATCAGCCCCCTAAAGAGATGCTCAGAAGCTCGCAGCTCATTAAACGGCCAGCATTTGCTGCCTCACTTGTTAGGAATCATTCCGTCCAGCAACTGCCCCCCTGAAACGTTCATAAAATACAGGCACCGAGGCAACAGGGGTCTGAATTCAACCGTGATCGAGCTCCGTATTTTAGAGTGACTCGACACCTAGTCCCCTTTCACCTGACAGAGCTGTTAACCTGAATGTGTTTCCTATTGGGCAGCTGAAATAAACACATCTTCCACTGAACTTATCACAAACTGAAATTCTCAGCCCACATTTTCTTATCTGGCCTACAAATCTCAAGACCAAGGTGAATTATAATTCTCTTTAGTTCATGTTTCCCCCCTCTGTGTATTTGTGTGTATGTATGTGAGCAAACACACATGTTCTACGGATTTTTGCAAGTGTGTCATTCTTACGTTGCCCCAGAAAGGATTGAAATTGTGCTTATATAAGCCTTTGGAATAAAATGTGCCTCTTGCAAATATTTCTTAAGTCTACAGAACACTGGTTGTTTTTCTGCAGAATGATAAAGAGGAGGTATAATCGCCTTTTAAAATTCTGACAATTTGAAATTCTTTTCCACAGATACCTAGTCACTTTCTGTCCTATTTTTAAGAGGAATGGAAATTTACACAGCACAATTTCGCAGCCTTCCCTTTTCTATTTTTCTTCTTGAAACAAGTATTGCTACACATTTCAAGAAGAGCCAAACTGGTCCCTCAGAGATCTTTTATAGCAGGGAGAAAACAAGGAGCTTTCCTTGGTGTGTCAGCCGGGGTTTCAATGCTGCTGGAAACAGCGCACAATTGCTCAGTGTGCTGGGGTTTGATAAATCTCTGGAAAGCTGCTGAATAGGATCGCTGTGATTTTTAGTGAGGAATTAGCTCCTTGCCATTGCATTACCAATTAGTTTTCCCGAGCACATTAAATCCTGCTGCTTTGGTTTACAGAATAACTGAGGCATTGCTGATGAAGCATAAAAACTTACTTGGAAAAGCAGTGGGGGATGCAGGGCGCCCACAGGACCCACCACAGCATGAGGAGTAGAATGGAGAGGCACTCAAAAAAAAGGGTTTGGAAGGTGCTGCAGGGAAAAAAGGAATTTATCTCAATGATTATCCATTTCTTTTAGACAATTTTCAAAACTCCAGCTTCTTAAAAGCCACCAAGTGGAAGTACTTCATTTATGGAGTCAATCAGTTGAAACTTCCACTGTAATTGAAATAATTTCTAAGTAGCTTTTATCTGTCAAAGAGTCTGCAAAATTATTTTATAAAGATTTGGAACGTATGGTACCAAGACTCAAATAAATTATCAGACACCAAATTCAATAGTCTATTTTCAGTGGGTTTATTATATTAACTATTATGTTACAATCTAGATTATCACTATTCAATAGAACTATATACAATAATGGAAATGTTCCATATCTGCATTACTTACCATAGGATTCATTGTCGCATGTGGTTCCAAGCACTTGTAATGTGCTGTTCTGACAGAGTAAATGGATTTCTAATTTAAATTGACCCATATGGTTAGGGACTATCACATTAAATAGCAATTTTTAGACAAGATACTTACCAAGAAATAATCTAAATGTCATGTGCTAAAGTTTAATCTTTCAAAAAAGACCATATCACTGTTCTATTTGTTCTTAGAAAGTACTTTGAAATATAAGTTGTATTCTAAACTTGCTAACGGTTCTTTTACTGAGTAACTCTTTAACCAACAAACTAAATATAGAAATAAAAAATGGCATTTTGCAAACATATTCCTGATTTCATTAGTGTTCCAAGTATTTGAGAACAGGAATAACCTTGTATCTCAAGAGAAATAAATATAGCTAATCTGAAAGCATTTGCATTAGGAAACTAACTGCAACATAATCTGGTTCTACTCACTTGATTAACTTATACTGCTAATAAAATGTTCGATAAACATATGTGGAAGAGTTGTCATTACCTTTGCAAACCCAGGAAGTGAAATTTCAAATTCCTTTCCTCAGTAGACCAAGTGTAACATGCAGGACAGCAAAGAACATTCATCATGTCCTTTATTGTGCATTTATTTAGGCATGAAAAGCTTTAAATATACCATACATTTTAATAAAATATAATTATTACATTTATTTAATTATTATTATACTTTGATAAAGTATAAATATTAGTTGAGATTTTTCTGAAGGTGAGCATAACAGTGATACATACCCAGAAGAGTGGCTTGCACATTCTAAATAGTCAATAAATTGTCAGTAAATGAATAAATTATCTGCAAAACTAGGACATATGAAACAATAGAGTAGGAGGATGAGGAATTAACCTCTTCCCTAATCCTTCCACACATACCCTATAATATAATAGTTTCCAACACAGATGGCTTGTAAATCTACAGTATGGCTTGAAAATATTTTTAACTACTGTTTCTCCATTTTCAATTAGTAACTATTTTATTAACCAAGTAAGATACAAATACCCATTCCTCCCTGCCCCCCCCCCAAGAACACAGTAATTTCAGGCACCAAAACATCAACAAAACAAAAATCCTCACAACTGGACCAAGAGGCAACATCATGAAAAATGGAGGGGGGAAAATGACATTATCAGTTATTTCACTTTACTTAGTTCCATGATCAACATCCATGGAAACAGCTGTCACAAAACGGCTTTGTTTGTTGCATTGGACACGTCTGCTGCCAAGGGCCTCTTCAAAAAGGTAAAGAGCAAGGATGTCAGTTTAAATAAGACTCCAAGGTGCATCTGACTCAAGCCATGGAATTTTCAATACTTCACAGGCATGTAAAAACTGGACAATGAATAAGGAATTCCAAAGAACTGATGCCTTTGAATTGTGGTGTTGGTGAAGAAATTCAATTTGTTTGCCGAACCAGCAAAAAAATCTGCCTTGGAAGAATTGCAACTCCTTAGAAGTATGGTTGGTAAGACTTTATCTAATATGCTTTGGGTATATTATTAGGAAGGGCCAATCCCAGGAGGACATTATGCTTGAAAAAGCAGAATGTCGGCTAAACAATGCGCATAAGCATAGAAGAGATTGTGAGAGTGGTGCAAGATGGGGTGTGGTGTCATTGTGTTGTTCAGAGGCTCGCTGTAGGTCAGACCCAACACAGAGGCCCCTGTTATCAACAGCTATAGCATATCATCCGCTTAGATGTGCTTATTTTCAACACTGTTGCTGAAACCTCAAACTTGGTGATGAGCTGGAACCAACTCACAGTTGACATATATTGCTATCCATTTCAAAACCATTTGGTTTCTGAGGCTATAAAGTGCATCAAAAGAAATGACCTCTCTTTCTCCCTCAGAGCTACTGGCATATTCAAATCACTAGAGAGATGTAACTTTTGGGTGGGAGGTGCAACTCCCTATGGACTAAACCAGGATATATCAAAATAAGTGTATCACACAAACAGAACTTTATAATAGCTCAGAGTAATAATATCTCAAAACTAAAAATTAATTATAAATACAGTTTTCTTTCTACACTGAATAGAAAGCTGTCCATGGTAATGTTCTATACTTTTTTTAATTGAGATTTTAATTAAAGTTCATAAAGAATTTGGATTTCCACTCATTCATTTTTGCACATTTTCCTCCATGTCCCTCCCACCTCCCAGTTCATTAAAAAGAAATTATTTCATTGTTATACAGTCCCCCTGTGCACCCCCACCCCGAGACCACTTTACTATACAGCTCTTATTCTAGACTTTTGTCATGCCAATAATACCTAATCATATATTCCTTTTACACAGTTCTCTCTCTCATTTGTTTCAATGCCATGTACATTATTTATCCCCTCTTTTCCTTAGTTTCCCCGACCCCCATGTTAGTCCTATTTCATAACAGTGGCATTATGCAGTGTTTGTGTTCTATACTTTTTAATAGCTGAATTTTCAAGTAAATGAATCTGTTACAATGGTGTTTCAAAAATATGACAACCAAGAAGAGGTGTGATAAAGAGACTCATTTCTCATGGTAAAAAGTTCAAGAATAATTTTTAAAAAATACATTGCTTACACTAACTTATTCAACATTGCCTATCAAAATATCATAAAAATTAGAAATTATTTCATTTTAATTTAACACCTTTTAAAAAAATTTTAACACCATAAATTTACAAAAGTATGGGATTACTTAGATTATAACTCCTACTATTATTTATATACTGAAAAATGAAAATATATGTACAAGTATAAAAGCTGCTTCATTATGTTTATTTCAAAGCATTTCTATTAAGTAACTTGTTTCAATTCCAAAATAAACACTCCACAGATAATTAAGTTATGACTGCCTCATTGTTTGACATTTTTAAAATGGAGTTAGAGATTGAAAAAATACAAAAGACTCAAAGTGTTTCATTTACCACACTAACTGAAAAGGCAATTTAAATACACTTTGCCAAATTCAGAATATAAAAAAATAATAGGGTATTTTAGTAATAGTTTTAAAATAATAAGATAGGATATGAAAGTAAAATTTTTCCTATTCCAGCCAAATGCTTCTCTAATAGTCTAACTGGATTTTTTAAAGTGTTTTAATTTTAAAAACAGATTATTCGCCATCTACAGCAATGGCTATTATTTTGGCTTAAATTGTCTTTCTATATTTTATAACATGACCAGGCTTAGAATTCCATTGTGTAAAGTCTCTATCATTCTAAATCACCTCTTTGACACACATATATCTACACAGAAGATAAGTTAATTCCTGATTGCTATGCATAAACATACCTTGTTAACGCTGGTTTACATGGAAATCAGTGTGAAATTCCAATTAAGTGCTCCATTTTTAAAAAACATGCTCTTTCTCTGACATAGTCAAATGCTAGTCCAACTGAGCACGTGATTGCAGAAGTGCTGGACATCTTTAGCACGCAATCATTTAAAGCTAAGCAATGCATTAAATACATATGCATTTTATGTTTTAAATGCTTGTAAATATGTTTTAAAGAAAGAAGAAACAAAAGTTGGATAAAAATAAAGTGACAAGTTGGCAGATATGTTTATACTTTTCTAATCCATTAAGAACTATTAGAAGATGTTGGGGAGGGGAAAGGTAATTTCCTCCTGTCATTGTTGTTGTTATATATTATGGAGTCACTTGTAGCTCATAACAACCCTATGCACACCACCTCTGAATTCCTGCTCTATTCTAAGCCAATCTCACCGTCTCTGACACATCTGCCTCCATTACCCAAGCCACTGTGTCAATCCATTTCATCCAGGGTCTTCCTCTCCTCTGCTGTTCCACCACCCTTCCAAGCATGATGTATTTTTCCAAGGACTAGTGCCTCTGGGCAAAATGCCCTATATATATGAGACAGTGATTCAAAATCCTTGCCTAAAAAAAAAATAGATAGATAGATAGATAGATAGATAGATAGATTAAAATTCCTTGCCTCCAAGGAAATACTTGGTTTTACCCTCTCTAGGACAGATCTGTTGGTTCTCTTGGCAGTCCATGTTATGTTCAATACTCTTCTCCAGCACCACAACTCAAAGGTATCAATTTTTCTTCTATCATCTTTATTCATTTGTCCAGCTCTCTTATGGATAGCAAGTACTTGTAAAGACCATGGCCTGGACCTGGCATACCTCCATCCTAGATATGTGCATTTCAGAACCTACCAATGTGGTCTAGATGTAGTTACTCTATACATTTCTTGTTAGTAATGATTCATTGTATCTGTTACATCAAGCATTGGGTTTGCTACAAGTTTAATATATTTTTCTATTCATTCATTAATGTTTAATATCAAATGGGCATGCACCGGTAATGCGATTATGACTATTCCCAGCAAATCTTCTCTTTAAAAGACCCAAGAATAAAACAAGTACTTAAGTGTAGTATTTAGTTATTAGTTATGAATTTAAGAAGTTGATGCACAGAGAATTTTAATGTTATTCAGCAAGAGTTGAAAGCCAGAAAGGTAATTTGTTTCCCAAGCTTCCTATAAACAAAGAACAAATGGCTTTTCCCCAGAAATATCACACACTTGTCAAATTCTTCACTATGCAAAGCTCTACTAGGACAACACTTTGACACACTACAAATTTCACACCCTGAT